TCCTCCTCCTCCTCCTCCCAAATCCTTCCATGTCCTCTTCCTCTCTTCGCCTTCTCTCTCTCTCTCTCTCTCCCTCTCTCTCTCAGTCTCTTGGGAACTTTGTGTGTAGGTTCCTGGCATTCACGCCGGATGGCAGCGAAGGAGGAGGAGGTGGCAGCTGGCCTTGACTGTGCGACGAGAACATTGTGATGGTTTAAAGGCGAAAGAGCGAGGGGAAGGAGAGCGGATCGCGCCGCGACCTGGAAAAGGGGTGGGGTGGGGAAAGGGGGAAAGAAATCCACCAAACAATCCAAACAAGAACCCTCCGCCCGCAAGGAAAGGAGCAGAAGCGCCCAAAAGAGGGGGAGAGAGAGGGGGGGAGAAGAAGAAGGACTACCTTTGCGGATGAGTAAAGGATGGGTAAGTGAACTTTTCTGCTCTCCATAGGACAGCTGCGGTTGGTGTGTGTGCCTCTGTGTGTGTGTGTGTGTGTGTGTGTACGCGCGCGCGCGCATTTACGCGTGTGTCGGCTTGTGTTGTTCCTACGGCTGGGAGCTGAACAACATCTAAACAACACGAGCGTGTGTCTGTTTTGCCAGGTGACTCACTCGCCACTTTCGTATTTTTAGAAAGGAGTTGGCTGGCGGTCTTTCCATTCTTGCCCTCTCCCCCCCCCCGTCGGTTATTTGCCCCTGCTGTGCTTCGGTTTGTAATTTTATCTCTGAATCGGCCTTAGTTAATGGCCAGAGAGCCCCTACCTCCATCCGAGAGTAGCTAGGATGTTAGTTCCATCACTTTCCCCATATCTTTCATGGTTTTCTCTCTCTGTATGTATGTGTGTGCCCATGCATAAATAACACAAAGACATATTTGATCGTCATCTAACATCTAAGAAATCTTCATATTCTCCAAGCTTTTATTTTCCTTTATTTTTCCCCCTTTCCACCCACCCATTTTTATTTATTTATTGGGGGGAGAATCAAGCATCTGGAAACCTTAACCCATTGCTGCATTCAGGGCTCCAAAGTGGAGAACAGGTATTTGGCCCAGGCGACTTTCCTCAGGGTTGAATTGATGTCTGGGGAATAAAAGCCCTCCCCTACCCCTCAAAAAAAGAGCTTCTTGGTCTTCAACAGCCATTTAACATTTCCCCTCTGATTCTCTAGTTCTGTGACAATTTTATATTTTCCCCTCTAACTGTAATCTGGAATACATTCCCTCTTGGCTGGTACTTTTTGCATGCCAGGCAATTAAAATTTAAAGGAAAAACCTCACCATTAAAATGAAATTTTTTAAAAAAATCTATATCGGGGCAAAAGTCAACAGCTGCTTAGATTAGAAATTCTGAACCCCCAGCACTCTTGGTTTCAAAGAGAAACATTAGAGGAAAAATAACTATATGTTCTCTTTTTCATCTTGCCCAGTCCCATAATAAAGCTGCTATTTATTATTGGGAGGATAACAGTGTAAAAAAATATAGATATCCTTAGAGAAGAAAGCAGCTGTATTGTACAAAGGATTCCCACTCTAGAACCACCTTCCAGCTGAACATTTTTACAAGGTCTGAAAAAAAGGATTCCTCTCCTCACTCCCCCCCCTCCAATCTACACAAATATTTTGTCAGCATTCACACATGGATGTGTCGGCTAGATGTCCGAAAATCTCTACCCATGATTGTTCAGGGAATGTGGGAAATGTAGGTTGCCGGCAGAGAGTAAGTCAAATAAGTATAAATAAGTTGCCTGGCGTGAGAATGGTAATATCTTAGCATGGGTAAACACTGGGAATAAGTCAAGGGGAAATTGTGATGCAGGTATGGCACTTTCCCTGCTGCCAAGATGCCATGCACGTTGAGCTAAATTAATATTATTCTGGGAACATCTGTCTGCAACACACTCACACTCATATAAAATAAGCCATGCAGCTCTGTATTAAAATGCACCTGTGGAAAAAAAAGCAATTACATATGAAGGTATATCTGCATGTGTTATGGCCATGCTGTCTTTTTTTTTAATCATTGCATTATTTTTCTGTTTAACACCCTGAGACTGTCTTCTGCATAAGCTATTTGATGCATGCCAGCCTCCCTTCATGCTTGCCGGATGTTTAGTTTACATGAAAGAACCCTGTCTTGCACTCAGTATCAGGAATATACCCCCATCCCCATGATTTTTTTTCATGTGGCATAGTTTTTCCAAACGCTCCTTTATCATGCTATAAAGACACATCTTTAAGGTCATTCATGTATCTCTAGAGAGGCCGAAGGGAGCTGTACTTGTGAGTTGGTTTATTAAGAAGGCTGTTACTTGGACTATTAAAACAACCCAAAGCTCGGACACATTTTCCTTCCCCCCAAAAAAAGCTATATCACAATGACTTGACAAATATATTTATTGTTCAAACCCCCCCAGCATCCTAGTAATAAGGATGCTCACGCTAAGGGTAGCATGTTGATGCAAACGGGGATGAGTCAATACCAGATGAGGGGTTTAATTCTTTTCTAGGGGTCATAAATCACACTGAAGTAATGGTGTGGCAGTATATGTGGGCTGAGGAGAAGAGGAAGTAGTGGAAGAAGGGACAGAATAACTAGCATTTCCAGGCAAAACAAACAGAAGGAGGAAGAGCAGGAGGCAAACAGGGTCCCTTTGATTCAGCTGTACTTGCTATGCACTGTTAGAGGTCCCAGTGATGAAAAATGTGCCTCTTTACAATGTATCTTTGTCATCTTTCTAATATCACAGGTTTCCATGTAATTAAGCTGCTGAGAGGCATGAGTGCGGTGTTCGTGCTCCTTCCCACCGTGCTGTTTGTGACGCTGACAGGGGCTCAGCGAGCTTGCCCCAAGAACTGCAGATGTGATGGGAAAATTGTGTACTGTGAGTCTCATGCGTTCAGAGACATTCCTCAGAACATTTCTGGAGGGTCACAAGGCTTGTCATTACGCTACAACAGCATCCAGAAGCTTAAGCCGAATCAGTTTGCCGGCCTTCACCAGCTCATATGGCTATATCTCGACCATAATTACATCAGTTACGTTGATGAGGATGCCTTCCAGGGCATTCGTCGGCTGAAAGAGTTAATTCTCAGCTCCAACAAGATCACCCATCTGAGTAACAAGACATTTCACCCAGTCCCCAACCTCCGTAATCTGGATCTGTCGTACAACAAGCTGCAGGCGCTGCAATCCGAGCAGTTTAAAGGCCTTCGCAAGCTCCTGATCTTGCATTTACGGTCAAACTCCCTGAAAACGGTCCCGATTCGAGTTTTCCAAGATTGCCGCAATCTCGATTTCCTGGATTTGGGCTACAACCGGCTACGGAGTTTATCCCGCAATGCCTTTGCCGGCCTCTTGAAGCTAACAGAACTCCACCTGGAGCACAACCAGTTTTCTAAGATCAACTTTGCTCATTTCCCACGTCTCTTCAACCTCCGCTCCATCTACTTGCAATGGAATAAGATCCGGTCCATTAGCCAGGGGTTGACATGGACCTGGAGTTCTTTGCATACCTTGGATTTATCGGGGAACGACATCACGGGGATTGAGCCTGGGACGTTCCAATGCCTGCCTAACTTGCAGAAGCTCAACTTGGATTCCAACAAACTCACCAACGTCTCGCAGGAGACTGTCAATGCCTGGATTTCTTTAATTTCCATCACCCTTTCTGGAAACATGTGGGAATGTACTCGAAGCATTTGTCCTCTGTATAACTGGCTTAAAAACTTCAAGGGAAACAAGGAAAGTACCATGATCTGTGCAGGCCCTAAACATATCCAGGGCGAAAAGGTGAGTGACGCTGTAGAGACCTACAACGTTTGCGCCGAGATTCCCGTTGTGGTCACTGAGAAGCCCTACCAGGCGCCTAAAACTCAGCAGAGACCCATTTTTATCCCAAAACCTACTCTGCCCAAACTGGAAGACTATCAGCCAACCTCTTTTACACCGAGCCCTTCTCCAGAGTACCCAACATCTGGACCGGAACCAGAATATGAGCACGTGTCCTTTCACAAGATCATTGCTGGAAGTGTGGCCCTCTTTCTTTCGGTGGCTATGATTCTGTTGGTCATCTATGTCTCATGGAAGCACTATCCGGCCAGCATGAAACAGCTCCAGCAGCACTCTCTCATGAAGAGGCGTCGGAAAAAAGCTCGAGAGAGTGAAAGGCAAATGAACTCCCCTTTACAGGAGTATTATGTGGACTACAAACCAACAAATTCTGAGACCATGGATGTATCGGTTAACGGATCTGGGCCCTGCACGTATACCATTTCAGGCTCCAGGGAATGCGAGGTATGAACCATGATCCTCCTAAATCCCTTTCTGCTGCTGGGAAGGCGAGGTAAATGTTCGAAGCTCTTGAGGTGTCTCTAATCACTAGAAAGATTAATGAGCCTTTTTGCTTTCGGGTTTGCTCAGTGTGAAAGGTTATTTAATTAAATTACAACAATCAGGAAAGTGACGGTATGGGTTTTTTTCTTCAACTGTTCTCGGACTAGGATGAGGTTTGCTCAAGGGTGAGATGAGGTTGGAGTAAACAGCAATGGTGAAGGCTCCGTGTTTAGCCTTGAGATGTTTTATGTTAAAGTCCCTGGCTTTGTGGGCATTACATCTGCCACACCCTTGAAATAAAGAGGAGATGAGGCTGTATCTTGGCTGCAGGACACCACAAAGTGAAAAATATTCTGGTTCTTGTCTGGCGGTCAGAGCAAAATTCTGATGGCTTTTCAAATGGATTACTAATCAGATGACTTTATTAACTTCCTCTGTGCATTTTTGCCCCAGTTCTTCAATTCATGTAACGACACGCCTTACCATCTTGGAGTGCAAGGGAAGAATATACAGTGCAAACTCTCTTTAGAAGTGTTTGGGGAAATTTAAAAAAGGGTTTAAATCTGGGTGTTCTGTTGTTGTTGCTTCTGGAGTTGGGAATTTAAAAGACACACAAACCAAAGCTGCTGCTATCAACCTCTGGATAGAGGAAGCAGTAGGTATCACTGATAAAATACAGCAATCCATCACCCATTCCATTTCATTGGTGTCAAACTGAAGTTTTGGTTCCTGCTTGAACAATAAGTCAGCAGGAATATCTTTTTCTTTTATCTTTCCAGAGACAGGAAGACTCAGCACTGGAGGCCTTCAGCTACACAGAATTAGGGAGGAGCAAAGGGGAGAGGAGAGTTGATTTTGGTTATGTTGATGCTTGTCACATACATGTGAACTTCCTTCTGTATCACACCATAGCAAAATTTAACGTCTCACTGATGGTCTTGCTGTATATTCTGCCCTGATGTTGGGCCTAGAAAAAGCACACACAATTAAACCCGATACCCAAATCTTCCAAGATATTTAGGAGCTCTTCAGATGTTTGTAACATCTGAAACAAATTTGCCCAAGTTGGTTGGAAGATGGGTATGAAGTTTTTTTCTCCTGTGAGAAAGACTCAGGCAGATCTTTGGATTGCTCCAATTTGTTGCCTTCTGATTAATGACATTCCACATCTTGCTCCCTTCCCCACCTTTTCCTGCAGCCATCATTCAGAGAGTCACAACAACTGTCTTTTTTCTTTCTTGAATAAAGTAAGTGACATAGCGATACAGCAGTGCATCTACCAAGCAGGGGATGCATAATACTGCCAATGTACCTTGCATATCTAAGTGTGCTGCATCAATTGGGAGAAAAAAATAAGTAAAATGGCAAAGTAGATGAAAATAGAGGAGAGGGATTCTCCGTCATCTCTTTCAATCCCACAAGCTACCAAATATGTCAAAGGTTCTCCCCTCAGATAACTGGCAAAGTAGATGAAAATAGAGGAGAGGGGTTCTCCGTCATCTTTTTCAATCCCACAAGCTACCAAACATGTCAAAGGTTCTCCCCTCAGATCATATTGCCCACAGGCCTAGATAATATTGCCCACAGGCCTATTTGGATGTGAATGGGCTACAAAATGAGATAATTAGGAGGGCTCCAAATCATGCACATACACACACAGAAAAAACTACCCTGTAGACCAAGCGCCAGGCCAAAAGTAGCGAGACAGCTCTAAAAAGGATGGGATTGATTGCTTTAAGTCAAAACACATGTGGATGTTATCATTTGATTCAAATCAAACAGCACCAAAAGTGATCCAAATAGCGAGTTATGTGCCCATATAAACATGCTCTTAGTTCATTTTTGCTGTCATTTTCTTTGGCTCAGTTTCATACTTAAATAGATAGAGAGGTAGATGGATAGGCCGATGACAGAGTGACATGACCCATTCTCCAATGTGAGTCTTTCAAGGAATGGACTGAAAGGAGGAAATTGTATATTTTGGATAGTTAATGACTATCCAAAGTATTCGTTTATTTTGTTCTGCATTCTTGGCAAATGCTGTGGTCTATCAGTTTTTATGTCTAATTGGGCTCTCCGGGGTAAAATCCTAAAAATTACACAGAGAAAGAAGTCTTTAAGAGGTGGTTGTGGGTTTTTCGGGCTCTTTGGCCGTGTTCTGAAGGTTGTTCTTCCTTCAGAACAACCTTCAGAACACGGCCAAAGAGCCCAAAAAACCCACAAATACCATGGGATCCCGGCCGTGAAAGCCTTCACAAATACAAGTCTTTAAGTCCCCATTAAAGAACTCAGTGAATTACTTAATATAAGTTTATTGGGGCTTAGCTAATGCAGGTAGTGCATATCAGATGCCATGCTTGACAGATCACTGTAGTTCGAACTTGTTCAGTGTCAACAGAATAAGAGATGTAGGTCCTCCTTGGGGAGATCAAGGGAGTCCAGGAGATATTTCTTCCATACTGAAATGAGACACATGATGCAACAATAAAGCTTGTAAGAACTGAGGACCAGTCTCAGATTCGCATGAAGCAACAAGAGAATAAACATTACCTGTAGGTTGTTAGCTCCTGTTTACGCACATACACACTCACAAAATGTATAATTTAAGCTGAACCTAAAGACCATTTGCCCTTGTCAGCAGAACTAATAAAAGATGGGAAATGCAATATGCCCTCTGACAGCAGTGCGAAAACCTTATCGTGGATCTTGGAGGCAGTGATAAGAGCAGGCTGGAATGCTGGCCAGGGAATCGTAGAGAGGCTGTTGTATCTGCAAAGCAATGAATGAAGTCAAGAACATTTAAATCAAAGTGATAGAATTAGATGTTTGTGCTTTCCTGAAACGCAGGGATCAAAGAAGCAGGCATGGACTTTTGCGAAGTAACAACATACATATGGGAGCCTGGGTTGCCAGGCAGTTGTGTGCTGTTGTATGTCCTGTAAAAGAACGAACATTTGTGCGTACATTGAATTGTATACCTGGGTGAATGGTTGGCTGGTGTCTTTTCTTCAAAGTCGGAGGGCCATCAGCTATGCTGGCTAGTGAAATAATGGAGCTAGGACTTACTTAATTCAAGCTCTGGATGTTTTGATTGCTATGCAGAATTATATGACTCACGGATTTAACCATGTTTCCCTCTGAAGGTAGATCCCCGTTCAGTTCCTACAGAAGCTGAGGGGAAATACAGACTGGACTTTTCATATACAGGATGACTTGGTTTTGAAAAAGCAGTCAAAACCCATTAGCTTTATAAAAGACTTGTTCTTGGCCTGAACAACAAGGATTAGAGTGGGTGTGTTGATATTGATCTCTATAACTGCCTACAGTTTTGGAGTTCTCATGTGGGATTGGCCATGGGGGGGTGTCATGACCAGCCCCAGCGCTTTCCAAATTTACAACCACACTACTGATTGCCATAGTTTGCTGTTTACCTTTTCTTTTAAGTGGATCTATGTTCATAATCATTGTGGGGGGATTTAAACCATTTTTAGCTCCAGGTAAACATATATAATGAAGGGCTGCTGTGGCCTGTTAGAGCAGTGGTCCCCAACCTTGGGCCTCCAGATGTTCTTGGACTACAACTCCCAGAAGCCTTCACCACCACCTCTGCTGGCCAGGATTTCTGGGAGTCGAAGTCCAAGAACATCTGGAGGCCCAAGGTTGGGGACCAATGTGTTAAAGCACTGGAATCCCCTAAACAGCAGGATGGTATCGGCGGGCACAATCAGATCTGCCCATATGTAGACTCAAAGTTAACAGCTTTGCCAGAGTGATTCATCATACACATCTGCTACACAGCTGCTAGACAGATAAGTTTGCCGAGGCTGGGACATAATTTATTACAGTTACATTCCCAACGTTTCAGCGTAGTTACCAGAGTAATTCGCTGTCACCATTCTGTCCTGGTTTTGTCTGTTTTAAGCCACTAGGCAGAATCAGGCTTTGCAAGTCTTTGGTTGGAAGACTGTAAAGAATTACTAAATAAGAATCCTGCCCAAGGCTCTGAATAAGCAATGCTGCCAGTCACTGTTGACAATACATGGGTAAGTGGTCCAAAGTTCTGACTCAGTATAGAAAAGTTAATCATGTTAATTGTATTTATGTAGTAAAAGAAGTAATTTTGCATTTTCTTGTTATCAGATAACTCGTTTGGTTACTTTTGTAAAGAAACATTGGAATGCTCTAAATCAGTGGTCTCTGTTAACCAACACACCCACGTAGTGAGACCGCACAGCTGTTTTGGGTATTTGAGTGCCCCAACAGGTCACTCCTTCCTCAAACTCTCAAAGTAGTTAAATACTTATTACATACTGTAGAACTGAAGTTGCTTCTTCAATTGCAGTCAGTGTAATTTAGTTATGTGTCATTCTTGCACGAAAGTATCAATTATGTAAGTAACATTGTTTTGACAAGATATTAATTGTAAGCAACTCATTGTTTGTAACTACTTACTTGAAAAATCTAAAACTTAGAGAGGTTGAAGGCATATATCTGGCATCTGTAGGTAATTAGACAGTCCATAATGAATGGAGGTTAGGAGAATGAAAACAAAGGAGCGAGCAGGGACTAGAAGGTCTGAAAGAAGGGAGCAATTGTCTATCTTTAATCACCTGCATCAAAGCACCAGCAGATACTCAGTTATTGACACCGGAAACAGGGTTGTCAGAATTTAAGGTTTGACTTAAAGTTTAGGAACATAACTTTTTTTGTCTGTCTGTCTGCCCATCCGTCTGTCTGTCCATCCGCCCATCTATCTATCTATCTATCTATCTATCTATCTATCTATCTATCTATCTATCTATCTATCTATCTATCTATCTATCTATCTATCTATCTATCTATCTATCTATCTATCTATCTATCTATCTACTCACCCAACTTAATCAATATCTATAGCTATGTATATTTCTATCATAGAATCACAGAATCATAGAATCGTGAAGTTGGAAGGGGCCTATAAGGCTATCGAGTCCAACCTCGAAGTTGGAATACAAATCAAAGGAAATCTAC